CGGAAGAGTGTAATTCAATATTTCAGATGTTTTTTAGGTTAACTGTTAAATTTTTAACATGTGTACAGATGGAGACATCCAATTTAGTTAGTTATTAAAAAAAATGAAAATCACCACACTTTGTAGTAATCTATTACAAAACACGGGGGAGATGTGTCACATATTAGGTTCTGGTTTTTTATTCATGCATCAGATTGTTACAAAATAAGGTTATTCTTTCATAACGAAATGAAAATGTATTACAAAGTGTCGAGTTTTGAAGAAATATTATGAGCCAGGTTCAGGTGTGAAGAAGTTTCGCAGACTGATGAAGACTTCAATTAGCATGGTTTATTGATCTTGGCCGAGGAGATACAGTTGGCATTTGATGTGTGAACACATGCCAAACATCTTTTGCTCCTTCTTATGTTTCAGTCCTCCCCCTAGTTCCTGTACGTTTCCCTGTTAGGTCATCTTTAGTTGGCCTTAACCTAGAACCTGGAAATTGTAAGTCACTTTGGATAAAAGGCTCAGCTAAATGAATAAATGTAATGTTTTTCTTTGGGGTGGTGATGGTGCAGTGGATAAGACACATGCCTTTGGTGCGAGAGACCTGGGTTCAAATCCACTGAGCAAGACACTTAACTCCTAGTTGCTCCAGAGGCGTGCAACCTCTGACATATATAGCAATTGTAAGTCACTTTGGATAAAAGCGTCAGCTAAATGAATAAATGTAGAACAATAAATCCATCTGATGTTTAGATTCCAATGCTACGTCAAATTGGTATCTATTGCTTTATTATATTGTTATCTATTACTGTCCATGAGTTGTACTTTAATCTGTGGAGCCAGTAAGTTCTTGTGAACAAGACTCAACCTTGAAGATTTCAAGAGAACACCGATATCTGCTAGCCTGACGCCTGAGCTACCGTCTCTACCTTAACAGTCTAACTGTTGTCTCCAGTGCTTAATTTGTAAATTGTTAGGTGCCGGAGCGCATGAAATGTGCCATCCGCCGAAAATAAGTACTTAACTATTTATGAACAAACAATTAGTTATTTAAAACCCCTACTATTATTTTAAAGGGACGATCAGAAACCATTATTAGCTACCAAATCTAATAGTAAATAAGGAAATCCATTAGACTTACCCTAATAGCCTGGATGAAATATTAGAAGGGCAGGGCTGTGACAGAGCACACTTTAGAGGTGTCGGAGTGCAAAAGGCTTAAACTCAGAGGTACTGGAGTGGCACTTCGGCTAGCTCCAGCACAAATTAAGTACTGGTTGTCTCCCTAACAAGGACAGTTACATGTGAGAGATAACTAGAGCTGGAAGGTCAGGGGACACTCTAAGCTATACCTGTCTTACCTTTCCCTGTTAGATCAATTAAGCCCCCTAAGAAATATTCTTTAACACGGAGTTATTACATAGCTTAATGTGTTGGTACAACATCAGCACAGTGTGCAGAAAAAGTCATGGAAAGTTTTATTGTCTGTGATTTTGTAATTTAGAAATAATGAAATGACAGTGGCTGTAGAGTTGTGTGGTGAACATTTGAACAATAAAATTCCTCAGTGGTTTGATAACACAACAGCAGAGTCATATAATCATACATTAGGTCATAGTTAAAGTTGTAATAATAATGCCAGGCTTATGACTAATCTTGAAAAGGTTTTTTTAGGGATTTATTTTATTTTATTATTTTTACTGATGATATTTCAATTGTTGTTGATGGTACTTGTAAAATTGCTGTTTGTGTCTCTAGTCTGTAGAAACATTGTTTATTAAGTGTGCTGCTATGTCTTTCTTTTCTTTTTGTAACATTTTGGCTGGCATGTCACAGTGCTGATTTACATGTTGCAATATTATTAATGTTATGCCTGTGTTGTTTATTAAAGTACAGGTCCTAATTATTTTCTTGTTCCATGGCGGGTTTTCGGTTCAGTCGAAACCACCAAAATACGTTCCAGCTGCTATGCAAATGCACACGCGTGCACACACACACACCAACACACACACACACACACATACACATACAAAAAATACAGTATATCACTACATGCAGTAATGTCAGTGAAGTGAGCCACACACTGTCTGGTCTGGATTCATTTGCAGTTTGTTCCAGATACTGGCCTTGATCTGGATCTGGAAAAGTTCTCCTTTATAAGATTCAGTCTGTAAGTCTGAAGACCCCAAAGATATTCAGTTTACAAGCACATAAAACAAAGAAATGCAACAAGTTCCCATATTTTAATCAATAATCAAATGGTTGCCTTAATACATAATACCTAATACATTTTCTGTCAATTGAGCAATCATTTTAGCTCCGTGTCTCTTTGCAATTTAGGAGGTTTTTCTTTATGAACTATGGTGATGAATAATCCCTGTCCTCTATAAAGAAAATGTCACTTCCCTGTCTGTGTTCAAGGCAGCAGCACCTTCTCCTCAGGAACAGCTGGAATCTTCAGAGCATCTGTCAAACATCTTTCTCCACAAAGTAGGCAAATGTAATACAATTTAAACTATTTGGGGCAAAATAGAGTATGGCTACAACTAATAATTATTTTCATTATTGATTAATGTGCTGATGCAGCTATATATATATATATATATATATATATATCTAGAATATTATAATATAAAATCTAATGACTGTAGCGAAAGAATAGTTGCAGAATATTTTACATGATATGTTGTTATATGTTCAGCCCTTTGCTGCTGCAAGAATGAGGCACCTGATCTTTGTGGCTGTGATCCTTCAGCTGGTGTTCACAGTAGACATTAAGGGAGTAAGTCAATAACATGTTTATTTCGCTTTGATTATTTCATTTATGCTAACACTTTATATATATCATTATTATTTTATAGGCATATTGTTTTGTCAGTTTGATTGTGGAGTAAAAGTAATTACGTGTAGGCTACTTATATTAAGTTAGTAACTTGCATCTCTTCCATTTCTTCTATTCACAGTACGAGTTTGGAGACATAATTCTTTTTCCAAGGTGTAAGGGAAGATTGACCTACGCGCACTTCGCAGTTTATGTGGGTGACAAAGCATTTGATGGTAAAAAGGCAGGGGACAACATCTTTGAACGCATAAGTACGTGTACGCAGTAAGCCAATTTACACATTTTTCAATGTTACAGTGAGACCAACAAGAAAATAGAGAATTTTAATGAAAGCATCTTATCTTTACCACACAGTACATACAGTATATACTGAAGGTACTTTTGTCACGCTTTGCTCGTTACCTCTGGTGTGTATATATACTTTTGTGACTTGCTGGTGTCTCGAACAGAATTTCCTGTAGCGATTACAATAAACTTCCTAATGTCTCATGTCCACAATTTGGGATAATGATGACACATATCATGCACTAGTTGAGCAAGAAACACTGTTATTGGATTAGCAGTTTAGCATGTGTGTTTATTGCTTGAAAGTCCAGAAAACATTCCTGTTTGAAGACAGCTGCAAGGAATAGACCTCTTGTGAGTTCAGAAAAATCCCAGTTCTAGTTTGGATACACATAACATGTTTCAGGTCAATTGCGAGAGGAAGGAGAGTGATAAGAGTAATTTAAATTTGAATTTGCCCAGTACTTTGGTGACATTCCCATTAGCCGCAACTGTACTTTGTGTTGATTGGTCTTTAGTAAATGTTAGCATGTTGAAATGCTTAACTAAGTTAAACATGGGATAACACATCTAACAGCATTTCATGGTGTGCCTGTTAGCAGTCGGATGTTTGCATTCAGCTCCAAGCACTACTAAGTCTAGCTCACCAACTGGTGTGGACTTCTAGTCTTGTATTTAACAAGACAGGCTACATTGATTGTAAATGTGGATGTACTCTAACACATTATTTCCTCAATATAGAAGAGGGTCCTCCAAATTGCGTTTTCTCACAACTCAATCCGGACGACAAGCCTCAGGTGGCCAATTACCTCGATGGATACAAGGACAAGAAAGGAAAAGTGTACCAGGCAGGAACTGTGGCAGAAATAACTGCGCGCATCAATGAAATGTTGCAGCAATGTGGAAAGTATGTGCTCATTATGAACAACTGTGAACACCTTGCTACCTATGTGCGTTATGGAGTGAAGCTAGCACTGCAGGTATGTGGCTGATTCAACGATGGTCATCACCATTTTCACTAGCATGACACATTCATGAAGTCCCAAAGCTTAAAATATATTGTAACATTTTGGTAAATACACTTATGCTGTTGAGTTTGTGTCCTTGAATGTGAATGGCAACCAAACATTATATGAACAAGGACATCACATTGTTTTTTTAATATACCCTTCCTGTAGAGGACACTTGACATGTTGTTGTTCCAACGCTTTGTATTTATTTGTTTTATTCCAAATATCATTGATTTGAGCTTTTCTGCACCAGACCTCAGATGTTCTGGTTTCTCTATACGATGTACACTGAATTCAACACTGCCGGCTTGTCTGTCTTTTTTAAGGCAGTCATAGTGATGATGATGACAATGTATTCATCTGTCAGCAAAACCTAAATGAACTTTTAATTTTTCTTTTTGAAGTTCAACATGAGTGGTGAAGACATGTGCATGCAAGACAGTCGAATCAACACACTTCATTTACTGGAATACCTGAGGAACCAAGTGAATGAGAATACTCAGTGCCCCGCAGGCGCCAGCAGCAGTGGCTAAGAAGTCCCTCATCAATCAACCATCTCAGGCTGTCGCGATCACGTCTGCTCTTTCCTGATGTGATATGATGTCTTAGTTGAGATTAAAATAATGAGCAAGTGCTGTGGGTGTTTTATTGTCCTTGTTGGTGTAAGAAATGGCTGTACGTTCTCAAGAAATTGAAACATTTCAGCATTGCATGTTCATCAAAACTATTTTGACAGAGTCAAATCAGAAACGTGGCACAACTTATGAAGAGGTCGGAATTTTCATGCTGAATTGCTGGTGAATACAGGATGGTAACTTGTTGTCCCACAAGCATTACTTGAAAATGACCCTGTAACCACTAGACCACACACTGGAGAAAGTAGAAAGTAATAATATTTATTGAATTGAAATGAACTGCAGTCATGCTGTATGACACATGAGACATATAAGACATTTTAAAACCAGAATATTGAAAAAACATTAAGTTAATTTAAGTGTTTACAAATCCAGAGGGAAAATCTAAAGCCTTGAAGAGGATGTGTCTGTGAGTTAGAGTGAGCGAGAGAGAGTGAATGAGTGATGAACAGGGAAACAACTGTGACAGGCTTGCAGTAAAGAAGCACTGCTGGGATGTGTTAAAAGTTGAGTAACTATGCAAGATAAAAAGCATAATTGTCTGAAAATAAATAACAGCAGCTTCCTTCAGACTGAATAAGACAGAGTGGGATAATTTGCCTGGGTTGGATACTTTTCTAAAACAAAACAATTCACGTAGAATGAAGCAAGTAGGGTGTCAAAGTTAAGCCGCCGGATTCTGATGACAAATTGATAAGCAGTTTACAACAAAACGGTGTAATGTTGTGATCCTTTCTCACACTTATGTTCATGAACCACTCTGCTCCAAAGCCTCCACCACAATGCAACCTTCCTACTCATAACCACCCTATTCAGAAATGTGCATGTTGACAGAAGCTACTCCACTGGCCGAATGCCTTTGGCCTCCTCCAGCTTCCTCAGGGTCTCGTCCCACTGGGTGAACTGCTTGGACAGCAGGAACATCTGTCAATCACAGTTCAGAGGTGAGTGGGTGGAGCTTCATCCCAGCAGTAGTTTATGTAATTAAGATGTCAGTGAGACAACCAGACAAAAACTGAGAAGCAACCTTAATTTCTCCCTGATTTGCCACGGTGGCTGATCAAAAACATCAGCAGTTTATAAATTTACCGGACAAATTAAAAATGATTCTGTAAGAACTTATGTATTCTTAATATACCATTTTGTTGTATTCCTCAAAAAGCTTCTTCACTTCCAGGGACTGAGCCTCAGTTTGGTCCTGTCAAAGAGACAAACATGAAACAGTTAACAGATAAAACCTAATGAGAGAGAGAGAGAAATAGGGGCATTACCTGCTCTTTGATGTGGATCTGTGACAGGCGCTGCAGCTTGGTGGCGTGTTCTGGTACGTCTGTGGAGAACAGAAACACACAACTAACTGAGAAGGTAAACATACAGTACTGAAACGTTTCCCCTCTATTGATCCAGTAGCTGTACAAAACCATGGCCAAACACTACATCACTACATTAATTTCTCTCTAAGGCATGACAAAATGTTGTTTCCATGTTTACAGCATAATCCTGGTTGAACACTGCCAGATGCACCAGAAGTATAACAGGGACTATAACCTGCAGTCACTAACTAACTAGAATTACCACTGACTGGTTGTATGCCTCCGCCAACAAGTCAAGTTGAGGTTTACATCCATGTTTGTACAAAGTCATGTTATATATGTAGTGAATAGTTTATAGGAATTGAAGAAAAAGGCATAAAGTGCATGACTAAATAGATGTTATTCTATATTGATGATCCGTATGTATGATTCCAGTGAATATACATTGTTGAACTGATTAATGAAGGATTAGCATAGCTTGGCTAAACAGGTCAACATGTTTTGATTACTATGTAAAGATGGATTCTTATAGTGTATAACTACACAAAATATAGTGCTTATGGTTTCTCCTGGCATTTTTACATATGAGCTGTAGGTGAAACTAACTTACTTACTGGATTATGTTTGCTTAAGTGAAAGGCAGAATGGGCATGTGTTTGAAATTTTGAATTGCACAATTCATTCTTACATTAAAGATAAAAACCTATTTTGAGGTCACGATTACCTTTGAGTCACAGGTGTCACCAAACTTACAGTTTGTCGGACAAACAGTTCTTGAGTTGTAGCCAAAGTTGTTTTTTGAGGTCACAGTGACCTTGACTTTTGGTCACCAAATTATGACCAATTCAGCCTTGTGTCCAAGTGGACGTTGGTGCCGAATTTGAAGAAAGAAAGATTTTTAACTTCCTTATTCTAGTCTGACCCAGAGGAAGCAGGATGTGGGCATAAGCCTGCCATTGGCTGACTTTTTCAGTCAGAAGTGTCCTCCATTTCAGCAATCTGTGTGTTACTGTTTTGCAAGGGCACAGTCGCTGCATCCTGCACTTAGCGACGCCCGAGACAATTGTGATTGGTTTAAAAATACAAACAAGCCAGAGCGTTGTTCCCCTATACCAGAAGGACAGTGGGTTCAGCCACACCTTTCTCCGGTGCCACAACAAAGTATGGAGGTCTGGCTCCATGAGACAAACCAAGTTCTAATCAGTTCATCCTGGAGTCCAAGTGGAAGTTTGCCAAATTTGAAGAAATTCTCACAAGGCGTTCCTGAGATACTGTGCTCCTGAGAATCCAGCAGATCAACACATAATTTGATAGATTTAGTTAAAATAAAAACAACAACAACAACAAAAAAAAAAAAAACCGAGCCAACCTGTATAAAAGGTCCAAACAAATTAAGGCGAAATCAATTCTTTACTTTTTTGGTCTTTACTTTGCTGTCAGGGGTAAAATCACAGAGGAGATGTTGCTTTGTCCTGGATTGTTTTGAGGTCCTGGTGAAACTCACCTCTGATGTAAGTGCTGTCCAGCAGCGGCTGCAAGTTGCTGACCTGCTCCAGCATAGAAGCCTGCTCCAGCAGGAAGTCCTCCTCTGTGCAGACAAACACAACAGCATCACAGAGAGTTCTGAATGAGATGCAGGTTGTTTAGTCTTCTTTAATACAACATTTCTTGTTTGTGACAAACAAACTTACATATTACACAATATACCATATAGATCGTTACATATATAGCATTAAACATTAGAAGCATAAATACTATTTTGATTAATATACAATAAATAATCAATAAAAGCCTAAATTAAATAAACTCATAGATTTTTAAATTTTACTGCTTACTCATTTTTTATTTGATTCATGTTTCAGTGCCCTCCGGTTCTTACCAGCGAGAATGAACTCCAGCTTCATGGCATCAGGTACAGTGATGTGGTCAGTAAATTGGGGGTCCAGGTACTTCAGCAGGTCCTCAACTGCACCACAACACCAATAAATATGATCAAAGACTCACCAAACTGTCTAAAATATGATTACAGAAACATTCGTGCAAGCAGTGTGGATATTTAGAACTTTAGACCTGCACTTTGCCGCACTTTTGTTATCTTATGCCAGCAATATGATCACTGTTCAGTGGCACCCTGAATGACATACTGTCTATGTGTAATTTTTTTCAACATGGGGCCTCAGCAGCCTAATTGTTAAGACCGCAACGTCCACAGTTCGACTCCCGGCCAGGGGCCCAATGTTGCACATCAAACACCTCCCTCTTCCCATATTTCCTGTCTATTTCTACACTGACAATCAAATAAAGGAAATGCAAGAAAAAACTGATACGACACAGCGTGTGACTCACTCTTCTTATGCAGGATCTTTACTCGTTCTCTTTTGTTGGCTGTATTAGTCAGACCTGCCTGAATCCTGGCCAAAGACTCAGCACACTGCAGGACAAAGGACAGTGATTAGATTTAATGGTCGTGATCAACAAGGGTATGGGAAAGTCATTACAATTTATTGAATGAAAATGTATGAGCCTTTTTGTTTTGCAATATGTAGCAATATACCCAATGCAGTACAACAACACAAAATCTCAAGTTCAAGTGTAGCAATGAAATAGTCTTTTTAATTTGTGTGCTTCCCCGATTTGCTCTGTGTCAGGCCCTTGAAAACTGGAGATTTATTAACCTTGAAGGAACATGAGAATTTCCAATATGCAGGCAAAACAAGGCCATTTGCCTAGAGTTTCAATACTTTAATACAATGCAATACTGTAAACAAACTTAAAAACACTTCTTGAGCAGGACATTTAAGAACAGGCACTTTCTCCACCCCTACAAATACAACATCTAACGAGAAACAAATCCACTTCAATGCCGGCTTTGTAAGTGTTGTGTTCGTCGCATCATGTGATGCTCTGGTGAGATACCCCATTGAGTGATCTTACAATGTTCTTAGCCAGTATGTACACTTTTTTAAGAATATATCTGACTAATATTAAAAACATATCCCAGAATTTAAGATTGCTAAATGTCTTTTCTTAATGTCCTGGAAACCAGCAGTATTAAACACCTTAAGGGACTTACACTTGCTTGAGATAGGCTCTGCTTTTACTTTTATTGAGGGCCTCTCCCTGCTTGGCCATACATCCATCCTAATTATTTTTTTAATTATAGTTTTCTCTCCAATTATTCACTTAATCCTTCTATCTATAATTTTAAAAAGTAATGAAAATGTCCATTACAAGTTCCCACAGAGTGGCATCTTCAAATTGCAGTCCATAATCCAACAATATTCAATGTAGTATAAAACAGGTCTGAAACTCTTTTGAAAGACTAACTTACTTACAGAAACAGTACTACACAGCATTTTTCTAATTTGTATTAACTAATCCAGTTTGAGTGCCGTTTATACATTTGAGGCTTTTGCGTTGTTGATTACATTCAAGCAAAGTCCTTCTGCTTCAAGTCAAGGATAGACTAAAACATAAAAAAAATACAGTTAAAGCCTTCTAACTGACAGCTAGCTAACCATCTAAATAGCTAGCAGCTGTTTAGCGAGGAGATAAATACACTACAGCTGTTATTGTATTACACTGTAGTGAACAGTTGTCAGAATTTCTAATAAATAAACGTGCATAAAATAAAAAGGGAGTGGCGTCCACTCATTCCCACTGACAGAGCTAATGTTAGCTTTGCTCGGCTAACACAACAGTTATAGGACAGACATTATTCTGGGCCAACCTTGACGGGTTTTCCACTTTTGTTTCTTCTCTCGCCGTATATACGACTCTCCAGCGCCTGAACACGCATTTCCAAGTTATCTGTATCCGATTGTTTATCCATTCTTGAAGCTACTAATGGACACAACAGAACACAAACAGCCCCGTAACAGACAAGCGGCGTCGCATAGTGATGACGCGCTCGCCATAGGCTTACAAATAAGTTAATTTTTTTAAACCAACATACTTTTTGTGTAAGACATGAGGTAAATGAACAAAAAATGTTCCTTAAATTCATAGATTTAAAAAAGTTTCGAAACATAGCTAGGTTAAATATGTTTCTTGTCGCTATTTGCAGTAACGGGCCTTGTCGCTAGGGGTCGCGGTTTTGCGGTGAAAGGTTTTTTTTTTTTCAGCTGTTTTCCGGTGACAGCCGGGGGAATGACAACAGAGGCAGTCACGGCCCTTCTTCCATTTAAGCACACTGCAAAACATCGACAAAAAGTAAGGTTTTCTCACATATCATTGCCTCTTCTTTGCACACAAATAATATATGCGTGTGGACAACAACAACAGTATCCAGGAAACAAGCACATTGGTTTATTGTAAACAATACTTTGGTGTGTTTCCACTAGCTAAGTTAGCTTACCTAGCACCCAAGCTAACGTCAGTTTCTGCATTACATCTGCGTAGTCTGACTGGCTTAGAGTTAGTTTGGTAAGTCTAGCAGGTCTTCCACTGGACTATAACTTATTAATTATTCCCTTTACAAACAAATAAAGACATATCTCGCATACCTAAAGCTGAATTACTTTAGCCAAGGTGGTACTAGCTTATGTTGCACTGCCTACTTCATTGTGATTTTGAGGGTTGTGTTGCTAAAAGTTTAATGAGTGCTTGCTTGTCTGCTCTTCTGTGATGTTGACAGCAGGGAGCTGTCTGCCATTAGATTTCGGAGGTTTGGGGAATTCATTCTTTATGTGCCTCTGGGAGCAGCAGCATGGCAGATGACAAGGACGTGTTGAGAGACGTTTGGTTCGGCCGGATCCCCACCTGCTTCACTTTGAACCAGGATGAGGTTACTGAGAGAGAGGCAGAGCCCTACTACGTAAGTGCAGTTACTCTCTGAACACTAAGAGACTCACCTCCATGCTTCCTATATGCCCTCCTTTCAGCCCACAGCTCTGTATTTGACATCAGTTTGTAAGAAAGAATACAGAGACATACATTTACTCATTTAGCTGACACTTTTATCCAAAGCTACTTACTATATACGCTCACTGACCACTTTATTAGGTACACCTTGCTAGTACTGGTTGGACCCCCTTTTGCTGTCAGAACTGCATTAATTCTTCATGGCATACTTTCAACAAGGTGTTAGAAACATTCCTCAGAGACTTTGGTCCATGATAGCATCACGCAGTTGCTGCAGATCTGCAGTTTCTGAAATACCAGCCCGTTTGGTACCAACAACCATGCCACGTTCAAAGCCACTTAAATCCCCTTTCTTCCCCATTCTGATGCTCGGTTTGAACTTTAACAAGTTGTCTAATACACAAAAGGCATGTGTCTTATCCACCCACCATACCAGATGACTTCATGTTTAGAAAAACACAAACTGCTGTACCCTGGGTTTACAGTTAAACATTATTCCTACTTAGAAAATATAATAGCAATGTTATTAGCTATGCACACTTTACGTATGTGAGTCAGGTAGCAGCTCATAGTAATTAGGGGCCGGATTAGAAAGAGGCTTTGCACCAAACGCATGCTGGCCCACAAAATACCCCTTTCAGCTTAAAATCTCAAAACATGCTTTAAAATTATTTACGGTATAAAGAAGATTCTTGAGAGTGGTGTATTTTAGTGCATTCAAAGGTATTGGCATAGAGATTAAAGCACATAGCTCTGGTGTTCACACTGTTGCTGATATGCACCTCAGAAATGTGAAATGCATGTCCAAGGCTACAAACCTACCACGTGGAGACTTGAAAAACTTGGTCAGCCTGTTTTGTCTTATTGTGGTGGAGATGGTTGATAGTGAAGACCACACGGAGCAAGCTGAAGAAAGTCTCCTCAATTCACTCATCTTCAATAAACACATCTAGCCACTTCCACGGCAAATCCGGGGCTTGCAGCTCTCTACCACTGTGACTGAAAGGATGTAATCACTTTGCCCTTTAATGAGTGTCAGTAGTCTCTTCTGTGTAATAATTAATAGAGCTTCTCTTCCTCTCTCCCAGCTGCTGTTACCCAGGGTAAGCTACCTGACTCTGGTTACAGACAAGGTGAAGAAACACTTCCACAAGGTGATGAGGGCGGAGGACGTGGAGGAGATGTGGTTTGAGTATGAAGGGACGCCACTGAAATGGTGAGAGAACGATCGTTACATGAACTGATTTAAGTAGTTCTAGTGGTGGGAATGCGTGAGGGCATTCTGAGTTGGTACACTGGTAGATTTTTTTTTACCTTGTGTCTACTCATATCATATTGTTTTGCTGCCCGTATGTGAAATAAGTTGTATGTTATGGTGAGTAATTAAGTGTATTTTGATATCAGTCTCACTTATTTCTTATAATGAATTAAGGATTTTCCTGATTGCTCTTTTAGAAATTCCCTCCAATAAAATGCTTTTGAGCTCACATAGCACACCGCTCCCACCTTATAAAATCTGGACAATCTCACCAACAAGTGCTATCGGCAGGAAACGGGGTCAGTGTTGTGTGATGTATTTGGGTGTCAGCTTGAAGCAAGTTAACATGCTGCAGGCACAAAGTTCAGCCACAAGGTGTCAGTATTGCATCACAGATGATGAAAAGCCTGGCGTACAGTAGCTCAAAGTTCTTCCAGTAAAACACTGAATGTAACACATCAGTGTTTATAGTCATCTAATTATTTGTTATCATGTAAAAATATCCATATATTTTCTGGTTTTGGCTTTTCAAAAAAACCTTTTGCTGCTTTTCTTTTGTCATTGTAAATTGCAAATTCATTGTATGTAATACATTTAGATTTTTTGACAGATGTAACAACTGAATGACATTACTTTAGGGTCTGGTAACCTGTAATGGTAGTGCGTCATTAGTTTTGACATTTTATAAATTACAGATGACCATTATAATATCTTGGTTTTTAAAAAATAAATACACTCATCTGATTTGAGGCTGTGATAAAGAACACAGGAAGTGAACTGGAAACTGCCCCCTGAAGTTCACACACTCCATCCAGAAAAGGCTGGACTCAACAACACCAGAAGACAACAAAAAAAAACAGTTCTGTTTGCTGGCTCTTTGAACCACATTTTAAGTTACACTTAACACACACAAAAAGAACTTTTAAAACACTGGTTAATAAATGTGTGAAGACACACGCAACCCTTAGCTTGGAAACTATACTCTAGCAGTCCGAGAAGGTTTTCACCAATAACATTATTTCCTGTGTGCTCTTCCTGTAGGCACTATCCAATTGGAGTTCTGTTTGACCTCCATGCCTCCAACACTGTTTTACCCTGGAGCATCACTGTGCACTTTAAGGTAAGAGTCGATCAGAGTCTGTGTGCATGTACAGTATGGACACTACTGTACCTCACTTTAAAGTCTATCTGTAAATTATGTATATTTTGTGTTCAACTGTGTCCTACATTTTGCAAAAGAAATGTTGTAAAGCTCTAAGATGTGAATATTTGTAACTAAACAACACATCAAACTAGGATCTAGGGTGGGAAAAAACCCACAAAGAATTATCACCAACTCTAAAACTTTACTTTTTCCTCTTTTAGTTATATTATCACGGCATATTTACTGTGTTGGTTTGGTCTCAGTGCTGCTGCTCTCAGGCAAACTCTGATAGCTCTGATAAACCCACTGTACACTAGCTGCCTTGCAGGTGTCTAGCTGCTAAAGAACCAGATATTTTATTGGACACAAACAGGTGGACACAAATACAACTCTACATAAACGATAATCTTGCTCTGTGTCGGCTACAGTTGTGTAAACAGACAATTTGTTTGGAAACATGTTCACCAGCTTGTTGAGTTCTTCAGCCCCCTAGTGGCCAAAAAAAAGAATAATTCAGCTTTAGATCGATTTTTGTGGGCTTGTGTCAGAATTTTCCAGATCGTGACCTGCTCCACTGCCATTCTAACTCTGTGATCGAGGCTCACTTCATGTCCAGCATCAAGGAGGCCGACGCCCTCAAGCACAAGAGCCAAGTCGTCAATGACATGCAGAAGAAAGACCACAAACAGCTGTGGATGGGCCTGCAGAACGGTGAGCCAAATGCAAAAACACACACATTTCTATTAGCAGCTGTGAATGAGCATGCTAAAAGGTGAGGAGGGCAGACACATGCATGCTCACGCGCACGTTTCAAAGGAGAAAGACCACAAGCAGCTGTTGGGGAAGTGACACACATTCACTCAGATGCACACATGTTGTCTTCCTGCAGCGCACACACCTACACGCAAATTCACACATGCTTGCACACACACACACACACACACACTGCAATAGTTAGCAAAATATTAATTCATTTATAGGTGCGGTGCTTTCACAGACACAAAGAATACATCCAAATAGATTCTCATACACACACGCACACACACACACACACACACACACTGCAATAGTTAGCACGGTGCTTTCACAGACACAAAGAATACATCCAAATAGATTCTCATACACACACGCACACACACACACACACACACACACACACTGCAATAGTTAGCAAAATATTAATTCATTTATAGGTGCGGTGCTTTCACAGACACAAAGAATACATCCAAATAGATTCTCATACACACACGCACACACACACACACACACACATACACACACACATTTCTCTTTAGTCTGAAACAAGTCTTTGAAGCCTCCTCTTCCAAAACTTCTCCCACCCAAACACCCACCAGCTTCCCCTTCCTCTTCCAGCCATCTGTCCAGTCAGGTTGATTTCTTATCGGTTGTGATTGTGGTGGTTTGTGTAGGTGAAGCTGGGGTGGTGGGGCTGATTCATTAGAAGCTTGTGATGTGGGAGTAGGCGCTGGGAGTGAGGGGGAGGTTGTGGGATGGATTCCCAAGTTTAGGGTTTGTACTCGTCTTTGAAAAGCAAAACCCAACACATGGTGTGAGATTCTTCGAATCACTGCAGGTCAAGTTGATCAAACAATAAACACTTTGGCCAGCAGTGATGTCCAGTAGCTGTCCTCTGGGCCTGTCAGTAATGTATAGATATGTCACCTTGTTTTGATCTATCATTGTCATGCCTTTTATTAATTATAAGCACCCAATAAACGTAATGTAAAATTGTTGAATTATGTTATTAATAGGGTTGCAACTAATGATTATTTTCATTATCATATTGCTTTTTCAATCAGTCAATTTAGTCTTGTAAATGCCCCTCAGTTCTGAAAGCCCAACATGACGTTCTCAAATGTCTAAAAACAAGAAGTAAAAGTGAAATATATTTAATTTAAAATGATTTAAAATGGGGAAAAAAGCTAGTTCATAATGTATTTCAGTTTATGCTTGATTAAATGTAAAAAATTAAATGCTTTTTTTGCATATTAATTTTCAGTCAATCAACTTTTTAATTCTCCTTAAATTATAAATATCAAATGGTGGAAGTATCTGTTCTTTTGACCTACAATGTCTAAACCACCTGTTAAAAATGATCCATTGTCGTATCAACAAGCCATGTAACAGATGTATTATAATGTCAGCCGGTATGAATGCTTCAAGTTGGCTTTAGCATATATTTAAATATATTGTTATTATACTGTACTGAAAATGGTGCATTTACTGCTCTGGGAGAAGCTTTTCTCTGCTCCTGGGTAATATGATGGAGTTTCTCAGGCTGCTCCTGCCTGTTAATGTCAGAAGTATCTATAATTTTACCACTTCAGTAAATAATAATAATTCCTCAAATAATGTATAACTCAATGGATCTCAAATAAAGAGAGAAAACAATATTTTAACATAATGGTTTCACTCACTGATTATGTCTTTTCAATTCTGTTTTGCTGGTTTGAGCAGCTGTTTGTGAAGGTACACACTTCCAAGGAAAGTAAACTAATTGCAATGCAAATAATGGCCAGAACTGTCACATAACCGTCAAAACTGTGCATGTGGCACTGAGAATGTTTTGAACAGGTTTGCAGACAAACCGACAAAACTTCAGCTGCTTATCTCTTTTCCACTTTCCCCTGAAACTAATAAAGAGAGGGAAAGGTCACATCTTAATTCCAGAAAAAAGATTAAGCGTTACTTTAGGAGACTCTAATAGATTATTCTGACCTGTTTTGAAAAGTTTAGGTTGTGGTACGTGCTGTTTTTTCCTGAAACTGTTTGTAACATGTAACAGATTAACAGAGAATACTTATGAGTTGGCCAAACCTATTACACATGAAAGTGAGAGGTGAAACATTTTCTAAACCAAAACTTTCACACCCAAAAGAGAGCAGAAACAGAGATAGAGAGGGACAGGGATGGCTCATACTTTCATCCAGGAGAGAGAAAACAGAAGGTTTTCAGATGGTTCGTGTGAAAGCGAGAGACGAGGGGAGGGGAGACGGAGGGTTTGAAACCAACACATGCTGGGTGGAATCGTTTTTGATGATGAAAGCTGTCCTTCAAACTGCACAATGGAAGTTCAAGCTCTTGTTGGTCGTAAGGGCCTGCTGAGTTCTCCATCACTGACCCTGACCTCTGATCTTTATGTGAAGAGGCGGAGGTGTATGGAAATTTCTCAGAGTTGAAGGACAGTTCTTGTCTCTTGCACGTGTTTTACACTGCACACACAGTTTATCTTGCCATCATTTTCCATAGCACATCACACTGTGAGTTTTTTTTAAATTGTATTGCTGTCACGCTTCAAGTTGGTCAAGCTGCAATAGTTGTTATTTGAATAATTATTTAGATTTCAGTTTCTTAAATGTGTTTTTTTTTTTTTCTTTACTCAACTATGATAAACTGAATAACCTTGCGTTGTGAACAAAACAGTTGAGGATGTCATCTTGGCCTTTGCGAAACACTGATCTTCATTTTTCACCATTTTCAACAACTAATTGATGAATCGATTAAATTATCTACAGTGAAAATAATCGTTAGTGGCAGTTATTCACTATTAACTGCTACTTAGTATAGTGATCTGAAAGAGTATTAAAACCCATTCAGGAATCTGTGTTGTAGTAAAGTGTCGTAAAATGGTAGTTTTTACTATGAAGTCTGTTTAGACACTGGTGAATTATCTAAAAACATGACAAAAATGGCAATTCCCTTTGAGCACATTTCCTGTAAAACCTGTTTCTCACATATTGCAGCTCATCCATGTCCACTTTTAAGGATGTCAGGAATTTATATGTTTACATGTACAGTACTGTTTTGATTTTGTCATTTGCGCATTTTTGTTTGTAATCTTCAAACTACCTTGGTTTCATATTTGGAAATGTTGAAATCTAAAAATGCTGCAAAAAATATAATAATCAGCTTTGAAGTGAAAGCATATCAGCCTTATCGGTTATGTGGATGATAAGGCAGCCAGAGGGATCATCCTCTTATACTCTTATGTCCTTCACTTGATGCATGCCGGAGAAAGATGATGAAGATTTTATTAAGTCAACATGTCTTAACGGGAGATTTTTGCAATTGCTGACCTGTGTTAGTTTATATTTGTGTTGCCACAGATAAGTTTGACCAGTTCTGGGCCATAAACAGGAAGCTGATGGAATATCCCACCGAGGAGGGAGGCTTCAGATACATCCCCTTCAGAATATACCAGGTAACACACACACACACACACACACACACACACACACACACACACACACACACACACACACACACACACACACACACACACACACACAGTTTTAAAACAACAGACTTTTTCCCTTCCACAATGACCTTACTGTATAATTTAAATTTTAGCTTGGCCAGGACTTTCTCTGCCTCTGCAGTATTGAGAGCTGAAGTTTGCTAGTCAGGCCAGTAGATGTAGCCAGATAGCTGTGTGACAGTCCCTCTGCGTGGGCTAATGCTGACTCCAACCTCCTGACACTACCTCATTTTTTCTAGGAAGTTACTGCTCTCTACAGGTAACAGTCAAGCTCCAGGTAATCAGTCCTGTGCAGCTTATGAACCACATTTTGCCTCTTCGTCACCTATACACGGACTTGTCTAAATATCAGTAAAAAAAAATGTTGTAAAACTATATCAAGAGAAGGTCAAAGACCAAATAAACAATTAGTCTCCTGTTTTATATGATTTCATGATAAAAAAAAAAACTTACCTACTTCATGCTTGCTATAATACCCGCCTTAAAACAACATGAGTAAGTGTCAGACACACAGGTGTTTCTTTAGGTAATGAATAGTTTTCTTCATAATATAAGGGAAGCCATATGTTAAACTAGTTTCATAACCAAATGATATTTTTTTATCCATTTTAACTTAACTGTTTTATAGCTGCTTTTGTGTTCCTGTGGCCAATGATAAAATATGTGAATCTCTTTAATCATAAAGGCCAAGCAACAAAACGTGTTTGTCAGAGATGCGTGAGGCCATGCTTTTGCTCTGGTGCTTTTTGGAGGTTATTCATAGGTTCCTATACACTTGATACCTATGACTCTCCCGAGTTTGTGTGTAATTTCATTGAACCAAGATGAGCCTGTGGGCGAGCCTCCGGGTTCAATCTGGGATCAGGAGGCGTTGGCAGACAAACGGCCTCAGGTCGGGTGTTTCCGCCAAGCCTCTGCAGCTCTATCCTGACTCAGGTGAAAATTCCCTTTGGCAGACTAAAAAGAAAGAAGCAAGGATGAATAAGCGGCTGATTCTGGCCTGGAAAACATTAGCATGCTGCGAGCCAGACAGCGGGGAAAAGGGCCACGCTTTGAGTCAAGCGTTGGGGGTTTCTATGCACATCAGGAAAGGCTGGAGGATTAATTTGACAGCTTTGGAAATGTTCAGGATTACAAGGCTGAAAAAGTTGGCATTGTAAAGAAATATTAAGGAATGAATGTTAAACAACAGTGTAATTGAATGGAATTTAAAGTCCCTAAGCTTACTGGACGCAGAATTGTCTCGTCCAATGTAGTTCAAGGAAATGAAGAATTGGAAAACATCTGGATCTTTGCAACAAAAACATGTTGACAGTCTGCTTCGAGTCTAGTGTCTGAATGTGCGTGCATTTAGCCTTGATCTCAAATCACAACAAACAGAAAGGCCCCCTCGCTGTCACTGAGTCCTGTGAAGACATTAAAACATTAGGGCCTGTTAAGACAAGTTTGGAAAAATAATGTAAGAAAATGGAGCAGTGAGCAGAGCAAAAAATAGATCTGGCTTCAAATGACTGAGCAGAGTGACATCTTATGAAACAGAAAGAGATTTGTAGATGTTAAGAACAGAACAGGACTTCGGTGTACTCGTTAGGTGCAAGAGTGAACTTTCCTACCAAGCATATTTTTCCGTCATATCTGCTGTGACTGCTGGTAATTTCCCATGATGATTTATTTTTGAGCATGTCAAGTTTGTGATGAGACTGGCTGGGCTCCACATATGGCTGTATTTACATTTTACGCAACAACGAGGGCGGGACAACAGCTGTCTATCACTGTCAACACTGACTGTTTTGCATGAAAATCAGAAAGCTCATAAATGGTTTTGTTTCTACTTTCACATCTTCAGCGTGTTAAAAAATAAATAAATTACAGTTTACACACAAAAACATTCTTGTGTTTGGTAATAAAACATAACTCTTTAAAGTGGCAGACTAAAACATGCAGTCTCACCAACACGACCCGCCCTTTTTGAGACATGCACTTGTTGCAGCCGTACAAACCATGTAACTGCTGGTGGGTAGAAGAAACCCAGACCGTTCCAGATTTGGGTGTTTTTCATGGCTGAATTGAAAGTTTCCACAGTCATTTATGAGCTGAGTTGGTTTCATGACAAATGGAGTATCAAAGCCTGTTACGACCTCACTGTGTGATTTCCAAACATATTGGAGAAAAAAAAAAAAGCATCACTCCTTGAAAAGTCTGGATTATTTAGGAGATGGTGCGGTTTTCATCTTACAAACTGCTAAATATTTACAACCAACGAAAGGCTGACTGGAAAGAAAAATAGTGGAAACTAAATCTGTTCATAATAATCTTGAGAGTACTTGTAAGGGCAGTGTTATGTGGCACTTTGCAACTACTTTCACTGTCTAACAGGGCCTTATGAGTGTTCACATTAAAGATTTGCATCAAATGTTTGGAAAACACTTGAAACATTTTGGACTTGAGTTAATACATTAGTCTGTTTTAGGTCAGTCAGTCAGTCTGTAAAATGTGTAATATTAATAATTTTAATATTGCCCGTCTTTTCTCTTCCAAATATGTTTGGCTAATCTGGCCGACTGCATGTGGTTGTTAGTGAGAACAATCTGAATATTATTGATATCCGAATATTATCAATCTGAATATTATTGATATCAGAATAATCATAATAATCAGAGCTTCAGATCTCATTAAAAAACAAATGAGAAAATCAAGCAAATAATGTTAGGAACCCTGCAGGAGAAATATCCAGTGTTTTTGTGAGCACAGTTGGTGCCCTAACACGATACGACAAAACCCAGCGAAGACACTAAGAAAACGGGAACAGGAACGCTGAGAAGAACAAAGCTGTGCTGACTTAACAGCAGACTGCCATCATAGAGGAAAGATCCCCCCCCACCCCTCCCACACACACACATGCTCAGAGTCCTTCAAAGCCAGATTGTGGTCTTTAGTGTAAATAACATGTGCTGTGTTTGATGCAGACAGAATTAATGACAACACTCAGTCCAAATAACAGAGGGCTCATTTCCGTCTGGCCTGCACACCTCATGGAGATGAAGGCACCTCATGGGCATGGACGACACATTTTTGTGTGTATGTGTGTGCGCCTTATGTCCTGAAGGTTCAAAATCATTTTATCACCTTTCTTGACCTGATATAAATCTCATATTAATTCTTAGGGATAAAGACTAAGGATATAAACTATTTGTAAGCATGGGCGTAAACTGACAAATTAATTTTTCTTTTTTAATGTTTTCTGTCTTGATTTAAAAAAAAATTATTTTAGGTAAAGGTAATGAATAAGGCATTTTCCCTCTCTATATTACTTTCCATTGTTACATTTATGTCCTTTTTTATGCTTTATGCTTATCCTTAGACCCCTGTATTTATGTGTATCGTTTATGTGTAACCCATTTCATATATTTCTAATTGTCATTTCAATTGGTTCCACTTGAGCCCTTTGCTGTGTGTGTTTGTGCGCGTTGGCCCGCTGCTCCCGTAGCTCAGACTGACCCCGCCGCCACTTGCCATTGTGTGATTCAAAGTACTGGAGGGAGTCGACTGTCTCATTGCACGGAAAGTGAAAATTACTATCCTTCTTTTAAAGACCACTTGCGTACATTGTTGCTCTACAGGTACACCTCTCTGTTCCTGCTTCGTGACTAAGTGCTTACTCACAAACCCCCTTGGCAAGAGCACTGGCTCCACCCGCCCCTTTGCTGTGGATGCTGCCTTCTTCAAAGAATGCATGTTTATTGCCTCTCAGATATCTTGTAATGGCTAGGAGGTGAAGGGTAGGTGCTGACTACACAGACAATAACAAAACATGAGAAAGCTGGAAACAGTTCATGCCAGAGGCAACAGGTGATGGGCATGTTATACTTTGGAAGAGTGCACTGCTGCCTTTACAGTAAGTGTGTCTGGTAGAACCATGACTCAAAGGAAAACCTTTAAGTGTTGTAATCTGTCTACTACTGCCTAACATATTTTATGTTGTGGTGTTGGAAAACCTAGCTGTCTGTATATCAACATGCAGAGGGTTAATTTGATAATAAATTTCATGTCTTTGTTTCCACATTGCATTAAAGTGGGGTTGCACCTGGGGATAGGTATCATTAGGTTTTCATTAATACTTCTGCTGCGATATTCGATATATCAAATAGTTTTTTTTTATTACCAATTTGCTTTTTAAAAAGCATGTTATTTAAAAAAATGGTTTAAAACAGGATTAAAATTGAACATTTCAAATATGATTAAATGTTATTTCTAGAGCAGCAACAGTAATGTTTAAAACAGCAAAGTCTTTATTAATATCTCAACAAATCTGTGATGTCAATAAAATAATAAATTTTCCTGGCATCAAAATACTGAGTGAAGTTTGGACGGAATGAACATTACATTTAAATTTACTCATTTTGCAGACTCTTTTATCCAAAGCAACTTACATTTGAGGAACAACACACAAGCATCAAAAAAGCATCAAATACAGCACAGATCTACAACTGACAGTAAATACTAGTAAGAGCTAATAGCACATATCATATCAATGGGGTAAATACCTGGAGAGTTCACAAAAAGTGCAATCAATACAAGATAACTGTAAGGAGATAGAAGAAGATCACAGAAAGTGCATGTTAGAGGTTAGGAGTTGGAGGTGTTGCAAGAGAAAGTGTTCTCAGAAGAGTTTTCAAGACCTTTTTGAAGTTAGAGATGGACGCCCCTGCTCTGATGGCATGCGGTAGCTTGTTCCACGATCGTGGTGTCACAGATGAGAACAGCCAGGACAGAGATTGCTTTGTGTGGTGGGATTTGCAGAGTCAGGCGGCGTTCGTTGGAGGAGTGCAGCGGCCAAGAAAGAAGCTTGTATTATGGAGTTTAGGTCGATGGGTGCAGACCCAGTAGTCACTCTGTATGCAAACATTAGTGACTTGAATTTGATTCTGGAGGCCACGGGGAGC